CCCACACAGAAGCAGATAGGGCAGGGGTTGGGTCGGACATAAGGCAGCAGCAGGAAAGCAGAGGCAGAAAGTGAGGGCCAATTTGGGCGTTTTTGGCTCGGTCTGCCCCTACGGTTGATGATATAAATCCTGCATTACCCTAAGGACCTTAAACTATGGAAATTATGGTATATTCCTTGTTATGGGTAATGCAGGATTTATATCATCAACCGTAGGACCAGCCCCGGGTCCCTGGAAGCTGCCCACCGGGGTGGAGCCCTTGACAGCTCAGATCGGGCTACACTCGACCACGGTTCAGGGTTCAGTTACCGGTTTAGGTTTTTTTTTTTACTTGTGGCCTTTGCTAACTTTAGGGTTCGGATAAGTCCCCCAGGTCTGCATTTCGAACACTGCAAATTTCGGATAGGCGTCTGAACAGCTTGAAATCGGTTTGGTGTATTTATGCGATAAACCAATAGCAAGATTACTCATTCTTCAGACCGGTATATTCGGCGACCTAAGCTGCTAGCCACTTGTAACCGCAATTGGGGTACTGGGGTGCTTGAAACCACATATAACTACCCGTGAACCTACCCCACCCCACAACCCTGTAAGCCCCTAGAAACGCGCATTGAAACGATGCGGCTTAGGTATCACAGTCTTGCCCAGAGAGCCCAATACCCTTTAATTAAGGAATATATCTTAAATTAAAAAGGGGTTCATATTCTGATTTAAGCCATATTCCTTATTTAAGGGGTATTGGGCTCTCTGGGTGGGGCATGTCCACAATTACTCTGCCGTAGAGGTCCTTTTTCTTCTTCTTGAACCTCAGCGACAAGTTAAGGTTGGGGGTTTAAGGTTCATGGCTTGGGGTTCTAGGGCATTTTAGGGCTTTAGGCTAAGCTCAAGGTTCAGGGTGTAGGGTTACGCCAAGATGAAGCTTAAAGTTTCGACTCTCGTGCTGAAGTTCAGGGCTGAAAGCATGGAGCGTCTGAGAATCACCGAAAACCTGCTTGGTGCATCATTGGACTTAGTAACTTCAAGGGTTTCTCAAAAGGCTTCTTTAAAGGGTCTATAAGGGAACTATGGGGGCCTTAGGATTTGAAGGATCACTGGACTTAGTAGCTAGGCGTATGAGTAGGATAGCTATACACATAGAGACTTATAACCCCTAATCAAAGTACTCATAACCTGGCTTTCCCTGTCCCATGATCCTCCAAGAGGTTAGCGTCCGGGCTTAAGGTGGTAGGGTTTAGGGTTTAAGGTTGTAGCATCTAAGTCCTCGGGCTTAGGGGTTTCGGGGTTGAGGGTTCAGAGTGTTTTTCGGGTCTACCTGGACCCTTAGAAGCCTGCCCTTGTGGGGTTCCGTAATATGATTTCTATGAAACCTTAAAACGGTAGGTTATTTGGGGTTAAGGTCACGGTTACGGATGAGGGTCCGGGCTTCCTGGCCGGGATACTAAACCCTGCACCCTGAACCACACAATCCCAAATCCGGAACCCAGATTGCCCAAGCCGGCCCCGAGAGATAATATAGGGGCCTTAACAATTAGAGTAGGGTTTGGGGGCCCAAAATACTATAGTTATAACAAGGAACCCCAAAGGTAATAATTGAGGCCCCTATAGTACCTTAACAAAGAAACGCAAGCTTAACTCAGAGAATGGAGCTCCTGAAGTTTATGGTATTATACTCCTTGTATAAGCCCCACAAAAACCCTCCAAACCAACATAACTTCTGCTATATCAAACTTCACAAATGCCCTAAGCACACCCATACCTTATCGTGGTGTGTGACCCTAAATCCTAAACCCTCATTAAGGGGTGGGCCCCCTAGGCTCGCGGTTTCTCAGAGCCCGGCATGCTTCACTGCTCGCGGCCGTGAAGACCATCGGGCAGTGATGGCTGAGTAACGGTGCTAGGGTTTAGGGGTTAAGGTTTAGGGGTTCGGGGGTTAGGGTGTAGAGATTTACTTAGGGCTTCAGACCAGGGTGCAATTGTAAGGTTTAGGGGCTGCAAGGTTAGTGGGCTTGGGGTCGAGGGTTGCGGATGAGAAAAAAAGTCTGCAGATTGCTGAGTCTGCGGGGGTTGCTGAGTCTTGTGCGCATGGCTCCCAACGTTGGTAGTGACGTGAAGCTCCAACACCCACCACCAGGCAGGCACGCAATTTCGACAGGTTCACAGGCAGCAGTGAGGCATGCTGTACGTACGAATTCTCTGTGAAGTTCCTAAATGGGAGTTTCCGAAACCTTAAATTATAAGGGGACTCATATTATGATTTAAGCTATATTCCTTAATTAAGGGGTATTGGGCTCTCTGAGAACTGGAGGCGCCCTTTTTTGTGGCTGGTCGCCAGCGTCCATCGTGCCGCCCGTGGCGTGGGTCGCCAGGCCTTGCTTTTGGGACCTACGTGAGCCCTAAGGGGGTTTAGGCAGAGATGGGCAAACTAGGTTTGGAAGCTTCATGTGCTTGAGGCTCGGCATTTTGGGGTTTGGGGTAGCTGTTCAGTCTATCGGCAGGTTACTCAATCCGTCATGTGATCCAGCCATTCAGGCATTAAGGAATACAAACATGACAATGCTTCGGGGTAAGGGTGTAGGGAACTTAAAGGAGCATGGAACTTAGTAACTAGGGTTATACATAATTAAGGTAACGGTACTTATATCTACTTAGAACCCCAATAAGGGGGCTTATACTTACTAAGTCCCATGATCCTCCAAGACGTGGACCAACTTCTCGGTCAGCCTTTATAGAATCGAGCCACTAATATAGGGGCCTCAATAATTAGAATAGGGTTTTGGGGCCCAGTATACGAGGGTTGAGGGTTTAGGTTTAGGGTATAATTTTGGTAAGGTAAGGCCCCTATAATAGTCAATCTCAAACGGTGAGAACCATATCGAGAGGTAAGATGCAACCCCATATGGTTAGAGGGTCAAGGCGTCCTTATTAACGTGAGGTGACCCCTCAACGATGGGTATTATAGGGCCTGAGTAAACTTAAACCCTAAACCCTAAACCCTGAACCCTAAAGCCTAAACCTGAACCCCAAACCCCAAACCCCAAACCCTAAACCTTAAACCCTAAAGCCCCGCAGCCGGCAGAGGCTGAACCCGAGATCCGCCGAACCCGGAGTCCCAAACCCCCCTAAACCCTGAACCCCAAATCCCCTGAATCCCCTGAACCCGGAACCCGAAAATCCAAACTCGACATCCCAAAGTAGACCAATCCGAGCTGGCGGTTTCTGGCCTTCATGTACAAGCACGACGCCATTAAAATCCTTCGGCTTGGTTAGTCGGTGCTGGGTTTAGATTCAGGGTTCAGGGTATCGGGGCTACATGTTGCTGTGGGGGGAAGCAGCCGGGACAGTGTTTGCAAAATGCCCACGTAAGGCGATTTAGAACCCCGCTTGAGTGCAACCAAATAACAAATCCGAAACCCTAAAAAAGCACTCAACTCTAAAGTGCAAATAGCCTCTGAACCCCACCATACCTGCCAAACCCCACTTAGTTTGGTAATGTAGGAACATGATTAAGAAACCCTGGCCCTATAACACCAATATATTAGGATTCATATAAGGAACCCGAACAAAGACCCAAGGTTTCTTAATCAGGTTCCTACATAGTAGTTGCCCGATGCCGTGGACTGGGGGAGCCCTTGGGGTGTCCAGCTCGGGGTGGAGAAAGGATTGGGGGGCTTTGGGTTCAGGGATTACGAAGTTAAGGTTTAGGGTTTATATGATCGTTCGATCGGTGGCTTGGCAGTGGTCTTCGGGGTTCAAGAGTTTCAAGCTCGGGGGCTTAGGGCTTTAGCCTGAGGTTGATTTAACGTGCCTTGTGTATCAGGATGTGGGTGAAAAGATGTGCTGGCTTACGGTTTGCGGCTTCCTCTCCCCTCGAAGTATCCGGGTTTAGGTCGGGAACCGAAGAAGTCGACAGGAAAAATGATAATAGTCATGTGGTCACAACAAGCAGAGTTCTAGGGAAGCTACAGATAATAACTATGAGAACTGCTACCTGATAGCGGCCATAGAGCTTTGATTTAGGTTTCAGGGGTTAGTTAGGCTTTACGGTTCAGGGCAGGGTTCGCGGTGTCAGGCTCCATGCCGGACCTCTGAAGCCTAATTTCCTGAGCGCCCAAGCCCTTTTCGTAAACCATGCGGCTGATACTTTGCACAACTATCCCGCTATCGTCCCTATATACGAGTCTAGTCTAGTATACCCAAAACCCCAATCGAATAACGAGAGCCCATAAACAGGAAGCCCATTCTAAGAATGAAGAAGACCCTTTAGAGAACCCTCCAAAGGAACCCCATTCTGGTTCTGAAGGCCCATATACTCCACCGTAGAGTAACCCTCGTCATTAAAGAACCCTTCGAAGGAACCCTATTGCAATTACAAAGTCGCTTAACTCATAAGCCCCTGTACGACACCAACCGAAAGGTTAAAGGATCCCTAGAGGGAGCCTTACTGTAGACTGGGAAGGCCTAGACTACTTAAAGGATCATGGAATTTAGTAACTAGGGTCATAAATAAGGTAGCTACAATTACAGTGACGAATATCCCAAATTAAGGTACTTAAACACTTACTTACTGAGTCCCATGATCCACCAATCAGAGACTGCTTGTAGATCCCAATCAGAATCTTTCTAAGGAATCTTACTTACTTAGTCCCATGATCCTCCAAGTAGGTCCAGGCTTGATGGTTCTCGAGCCCCTACCCCTAACCCAAGCCGGAATGAAGGAGTCTCGGTGTCGCAGTCGCTGATATGTAGGGATTCGGGTTTAGGGTTTAGGGGTTTACGGTGAAGGGTTTAGAGCTGGAACATGCCTACACTCATGCTCCGAAGGTAAGGAGGGATCCTAGCACTACCCATCCTAAATCCGTGTTCCAACTTTTCTGAGGTTCGCTGTAGGACCCTTCGAAGTTAGGGCGTCATTTGAGATTTGTTAGCGTGATTTATAAGAGCGTCACGGGTGCCCCAGGGGATACTACCACTAATTGTTCAAGTCGGCTGAGCGGACGGCCTCAAAATCCCCACATTGCTGGTCCAGTGGTTCCGAACATTCCTGCACGGCATGAAGGATCGGGGCACTTAGGATCTAGGATTCTGTGTTAAAGAACCCGAACCATCAACCCTTGCACAAAATGCAGTGACAGAGGTCTCAAAGGTCGACGGAACCCGGATGCAAAACCCAGGACCCTAGACTCTGAGCTGCAAAACTGGTCGCGGGCCGCGGGTGGTGACTGCTCATGATGATGCTTGTTGAGGGGGGGCGCGACCAAAACTTTGCACGCTTAACGAACGAAAAGATGTTTGCTCCGTGGGCATGCTTGGCTTCGAGGTTTACGGGTCGATGCCATGGAACCTCGCCAGCTTCAGCCCTACGGCCAGCAGGGTGATTTCAAGAAGCCGTGAACAGGTACTTAAAGGATCATGGGACTTAGTAACTAGGGTTATAATTAGGGTAACTATAGTTATAACCCCAATTAAGGTACTTATAACTTTACTTACTAAGTCCCATGATCCTCCAAGTAGGCCCTGATCAGCACTGCGCAAGGTCTAGAGTTAATTGATTCAGGGACTTCGCCCTACCTGATGCAAGCCTAAGTGCGCAAGCGCAGGTCTAGGTTTGACGACCAGCGGGAAAGCAAGGTTCGAGGACATCACAGTATTTATCTAGCTATGCATCCGTCTGCCTCTTCAAGAATCTTCGTGCCTACATTCACTAGCAACACGTTCATCATCAGTAGTAACTATTCACATAGTTAGTACTACAAGTTTAAACGCGATTGTTATCATTAAAAACTGTAGCGGCGGCAGCAGCAGCAGCAGCAGCAGATGTGGCTGTGCCGTAGCGGCAGGTTGGGACAGGAGTAGAGGTAAAGGGGGGGGGGCAGGGGTGTGGTAGGAGGTGCACAGGACAACTTGATCCATGACCGCATCCATCCACACCAGGACACACCACAAGGAGAATGTTTTAGAAGCACCCGCACAGCCGAGCACACTCAGCGAACTCCTCCCCGTGGCGCGCGCCATCAGTATGGCGGCGACATAATGGTTTTGGGAATGGTAGTGGTCGTCGTCGTCGAGTAGCAGTAGTACCTAAACTCTGCAAGCAGCAGCAGGAGGAGGAGTAGTAGTAGCAGCAGGAGTAGTAGTAGTAGAAGAAGAAATAGTAGTAGCAACAACACTTTAAAGCTTCAACCCTGCAAACAGTAGAAGGAATCTAAGCCGCCGCGGTCCGTTTTGGAAGAGCATCCCGGTGATGGCCACCATGGCAAGGCGGCCGTTTGCCAACTCAGAGTTCAGCTTCCTGGCAGGGTTTGGGTTTAGTGCTCAGGGTTCCTTTAAAGAGATCTAAAAGTATTCTATTAGGTTTTAGGGTTTAGGGATGCTTAGGGTTAAGGGTGGTAGGGTTTGGGGTTTAAGGCGTTAGGATGTTAGGCATGTTTAGGGTCCAGGGTGTTAGAGATGTTCAGGTTTGGGGCTGGTAGACATTCCTATAAAGGGAACTCCAGAATGTTGGAATATGGTTTCAGGGTAGGATACCTTATAATTTACCATAAAAGGTTTAGGATAATCATATTCCAACTTTCTGGCTTTTACTTTAGGATTTTAAGGCTGTGTTGAAACCAGCCTTAGAACGGTTTTGCAGGGTTCTGTAAGTGCGAAGGTTTAGAACTTGTGACCTTTCGGAGTCGAGCATCACAGGGATCATCGCTGTGGGCTTACTGTTCAGGGCTCCGGGGGGTCCAGGCTTTAGGGGGTTGTACGACATTTGTACGGCATAAAATTTCAGGGAGCTTTCGATCAAGTGAGTATCTTAACGGCTAGAGGATCGAAGTCCCAAAGCACCGAAACCTTCAACCCGAAGCGCAAAATCACCAGCCCCGACCCGGCGTTTGGGGGTTTGATCGTGCAGACCGTGGTCGAGTCATGGTACTTCTGTTGATGATATGAATCCTTGCATGACTTTAAGGACCCTAAACTATGGGACTATTCCTTATTATGGGTCAGGCAGGATTTCTATCATCAACCGTTCTGAACAGACCGCAGTCCGCAAAAAGTCCGGACCAGAGGCCTAAAGTCGATAACTAGGATACCCAGTAACCTAAGAATAAAAAAGGCCTCTCTTTTTGGTATTGGGTAACTTTATAAGGAACCTAGGACTACAAAAAAGGAATAAGGGTACTACTGGGCATCCTAGTAGGGGCCTTAAACACTAAAATAGGGTCTTGGGGCCCAATATACTCTAGTTACTCTAGTTTTGGGGCTTTAATATATAACTAGAATAGGGATTTGGGGCCCACAATAGTATAGGCAATAAGGAATCCCCACTAGTATAGGTAATAAGGAACCCCCAAAATGGGAAAGGTAATAAGGAACCCCTAGAATAGAATAGGTAATCACTAAGGCTCCTACAGTACATGCCATCCTGCACACTTAGTCGAATGCAGCTTGAGGGGTCGCCTCCAAAAAATCCGACGTCACCGGGTTTAGGGTTTCGGGTTCAGGGTTTAGGGGTTTAGGGGTTTAGGGTTCAGGGGTTTAGGGGTTTAGGGGTACGCCTTCGGAAGATCCAAGTCCCAGAAACACACCCAGCCCCAAATACCCCGCAAAGCCCAAACCCCGGACCTTCAAAACCCTGCCCAAAGCCTGAAAACTACAATGAACCCCCAAACAAACGGCATCAGTATTCGTATCAGTGTTGGTATCAGCATCGGCAGTAGTGTTTAGGATTCGCATTCTCTCGCATTCGCAAGTTAGGGCAAGTACAGATCTGGGAGTTTCCGAAAATTAGGGGAACCTTATCCGGGGGTCCTTATAAATAATGATCCTACTATTTAGGGTCTATGTTAGGCTCCCCCCTATTACTCCCATGTGAAAGATTCGCGCCTCTTTCGGCCCTCAGCATCTGCCATGGGGCCGCTGGCGTTCGGCACGCCCAGGATTCCGGCGTTCCTGAGAGGCAGAGAATCAGCGTTAGGGTTTAGGGTTCAAGGTTTAGGGTTTAGGGTTTAGGGTTCAGGGTGTAGGGTTTAGGGCTTAGGGTTTAGGGCTTAGGGTTTAGGGCGGAGTGTGGGGTTGCGTACTTAATCTAATCCAGCTCGACCCGAACCCTCTAAGCTTCAACTTGAGCAATTTCGGGGACAGTTCCGTGTCTGGATTTAGGGTTTAGGGTTTAGGGTTTAGGGTCGAGGGTTTAGGGTTTAGGGTTTAGGGGGTACAAAGTGCTAGAGCAAGGAAGACATGGATCCTTGCACGAGGGCCGGCGGGCTCCAAGCTTAAAGTTTGGAGTGTAAGCTGGGGTGGTACTTGGAGGATCATGGGACTTAGTAAGTAAGGTTATAAGTACCTTAATTGGGGTTATAAGTAGTTATAAGTAGAGCTACCCTGATTATAACCCTAGTTACTAAGTCCCATGATCCTTTAAGTAGCACTCCCAGTATTCGCACCATGCCCATGCCGAGGCTTTGTGCCAATGTTGTGCTGCATATCTACAGCAACCGACCCAGGGTCTTGAATTCCTTACAGTTCCCTCATAGCACCATTATGGGAGTTTCCGAAAATAGGGGTACCTTATTTAGGGGTCCCAAAAAAAGGATCCTACTAGTTGGGTGCTATGTTAGGGTCCCCTATTTTCGGAAACTCCCTTATAATGCCCTTATGGTACCCTTAGACTACGCGTCTTGTTCCAGAGTCGTAGGACATCCCCACAGCTGCCCTCAACTGGCTTGAAAGTCATTTCCGAACAGGGCCTCTCCTGGTCCTTTTAGGGTTCAGGGTTCAGGGTCTAGGGTTCAGGTTTTAGGATTTACCGTTCAGGGTTTAGGGTTTAGGATTTGGGGTTCAGGGTTTAGGGTTTAGGATTTCGGGTTCAGGGTTTAGGGTTTAGGATTTCGGGTTCAGGGTTTCGGGTTTGGGGTTCAGGGTTTAGGAGTTAGGGTTTAGGGTTGCAGGTTGTAGGGTCTTAGGGAAGCCGTACACCTAACCATTAACGACGCCACAGACGCAAACTTATTTGCCTGTTTACTTACCTACGTACGTCCTTCTCTCCTTGCTTTAAGCCTTGCTTGCGTGTTGGCTTACGCACGCACCCATCCGCAGGGCTCAAGTGGAATGCTCCCTGATTGTTGCGAAAGGCTGCTTGATTATGCAGAACAACGACAACGACAGCCTCGGCTGCGCAATCTTGCAAGAGTGACTGAGGTGTAATACTCTGAATACACAGCGCCCCTCGTAGGTTTGCTATAATATGTCTCCAAGCCCTATTATATATCTCCAAGCCCTATTCTACTGTTTATGCAACCATGCTTACCAGTGCTAGAAACTCAGAGTTCCGGAGATTCCCCAGATCTGGGGGTGCCGCTCATAGTCACCCGGGTCACGGGAGGGATCGGCCCTGCGCAATCAACACCCGGGTTTAGACTTGGCTGTCTTATGAACCTCTCCTTAAAAGTTACACTTTTAGCCTCCTTATTAGGGTTCATATAGAAACCCCAAAAGTTAAAGTCCTAAGAGCCGACCAGAAAAACGCCAAGTAGAGGTTTAGAGGTTTAGGGCTTTGGGTTTAGGGTTAGGTGGGGGTTTATCTAAATCCCTTACACCGTTCTAATCATGAAGGCACCCATAAACAACCCTCAACGTAACCTCCATAGAGTCCTTATAGAAACATCTTGAAAAGGCCTTGAACCTGAGCCAAGGCATAGGGCTTTGAGCTTGAGATCTGGAGGGATTGAACTTGCTGGGTGTAGGGTTTAAGGTTTGGGGTCCGGGGATTCGGGCTTAAGGTTTAGGGGCTTAGGGGTTTAGGGCTTGACAGCCCCCTTCCTCCATGTAGCTGAAGATGTTGTCGAATGAGAAAGGCACAGTTGCGAGGGGCGTGGACCAAAGGCTTAGGGTTCAGGTTTCCTTTGAAGGAGCTACTTGGAGGATCATGGGACTTAGTAAGTAAGGTTATAAGTACCTTAATTGGGGTTATAAGTATAGTTACCCTAGTTATAACCCTAGTTACTAAGTCCCATGATCCTTTAAGGAGGCTGAAGCTTTGCTGAAAAGCGCCCAGCCCCTACGAACCCCCGAAACGGAGGCCCGATCCTCGAAGTCGAGTTCCGAACACTGTAATGTAGGGGCCTTGATGAGTAGAATAGGGTTCCTTTAAAGGGATCTATAGGGGTTACTATAAGGCATAGTACAAGGCATAAAGGTGCCATATTATAGGGGCCTTGATAATCAGAATAGGGTTTGGAGGTATATTATACTAGTATTGTAATAAGGAACCCCCAAAACATCATTCTGATGACTAAGGTCCCTACATGACCCGTTGTCCCGTATTTTAAATACTTCTAAGGACACCCTTTAGAAGTCGTTGATAATAACACACCTGGTCATTTCCGAAAAACACATGCCTACAAAAAACTCCGAAGAGCGATTTGAAACCTAAACCCTAAACCCGCATGATGCCCCAGACCGAACATGTCAGAAACCGCAGCGCCCGCAAACCCAAGCCCTAAACGCAGAACCGATCCTCCCGCTGATTCTAAGAAAAGGTGGACCTCCGACTCAATACCTATACTTTAAAGGTTCGGGGGGACTTGATACAGTAGCAATAATTCAGGCTACAGCTAGGATTACCGCACTAAAGGCAGTTCTATCTTTAATTCCACTACAACTTACTTGAGCCGGCAAGTATGGTTTCACCGCGATTCCCGAAAATGCAAGCGTTACAAGAATCCGATGTCCCATGATACCACATGGCATCCTTGCAAAATCAACGAAACCCTGTCAAGCGCTTTAAAGTCCAATGAAGCCCCCAGCAAGAACCAAACAGCCAAACCCCAAACCCGGTTCAGGGTTTAGGGTTAAGGTTCAGAGCCGGAAACCTCCCACGCAAAAATTGAACCGACTGCCTTACACCCCTTGTAAAGCCCTAAGTCCTAAATCTTAAACCCAAGACCCCTTACAGAACCCTATTGGTACCTTTGAGGACCCTGCTAGAACCCCTATTCCCCCACAGCCCTCAAATGTCAAACCCCGAAACCCAAAACCAAATCCTAAACCAGAACCCTTCTAAAGCCCCTAAAACCCTAAAGCCCTCAAACCCTGCAACCCAAAATCCCAAACCCCTTAACCCTCGTCGTCGTCTTTTGCCGGGAGTGCAATGGGTTTAGCAAAGACATCCCTTACAGACTACGGGGCTCAGGGCCAGGCAAGGAACTAAACCGAAAGGGGACCCAGGGGGCAGGCTTACAAACACCAGGAGTCAAGAGCTACGGATCAACTCCACGCCGCTCAGGCTCAGGCTTCCATGCTGGACATTCCTCTCTCCATGCTCGTCGGAAGAAACCAGCGTCACGATACAAGGTGCCCCACTTACACTCATAACGACGTTGCTGTTCCGGGCGCGCAGCCGTAGAAGTCAACAAACACATCTCATGACATCTCTTGTTTACTGCATTACGGCTGCTGTCAGGGTGCACCGGCGTGAGCCTGGCTTGATGCTCACTTCGCAGCTCCTCGGGAACCGCTACCGTTCGTGTACCTTTCTTAAGACAGCCATTGGCCCACGACGGTCGTACTGTAGCTTCATTTGCAGGGTCAGTGATCGCTTGAACGAAAGGTCCTGGCCTGGACCCTCTCAAAAACTCATCAAACCCCTGCGGCCCTACAGCCAGTCTGGCCCAACGGCGCATGCCATCTTCAGACTCTAACCACCACCCCTTAACCCTTTCCTTTTGCAAGGAACCCAGAAAGCGAACCCTTACAGGAAAACCCCCTAAAACTAGGACCCCCCAATAGTCCTCTAATGGAGCCCTCATGGTCCTTAATAGTGGATATTTAGGGTATATGAGAGTGTAGTTGGGGGGTCTACCATGAACCTTTAAGTAGACCCTAAACCCTATACCCCTAAAGAGATCCATTATAGAACCCTTTAAGGAGGCTTAGTCTATACTGGACTTAGAACCCTGGCAAAAAATTGAATTTTAGCTGTTTCTTAGGGATTATAATAAGCAAAAGTTAATAATCATCTCTAAGTACCCCCAAGTAGTTGGGGGGCGACCAAGAAAGGAGGCGGACCTGTAGAGCCCGAAGTCGATCATGCCGCAGAAGCCGATGATCTGAATCCAGCCCAGGAAAGGAACCTCTGAATTGTATAAGGGTTCCTTTCAAGGGATCTATAAGGGTTCTATAAATAGGGATCTGTAGGGGTTTCGGGGTTTAGGGGTTTCAGGGGTGAAAGGAACCTCGTGGTTTTATGAGGCTTCCGTCAGAGGGATCTATAATCTATAAGGGGCTCCTTTGAAGGGATCTATGATCTATAAGGCTTCCGTTAAAGGGATCTGTAATCCATGTAATCCATAAGGGGCTCCTTTAAAGGATTCTAGAATATATAAGGGGTTCCTTTAAAGGGATCTGCAATCTATAAGGGTTCCTTGAAAGGGATCTATGATCTATGAATCTATAAGGGGTTCCTTTAGAGGGATCTATAATCTATAAGGCTTCCGTTTTAAAGGGATCTATAATCTACCAGGGTTCCTTTAAAGGGATCTAGAATCTATAAGGCTTCCTTTAAAGGGATCTATAATCTACAAGGAACCTCTGAATTGTATAAGGGTTCCTTATCTATATGGGTTCTATAAATAGGGATCTGTGGGGGTTTCGGGGTTTAGGGGTTTCAGGGTTTAGGGTTTTAGGGTTTTGGGGGTCAGGGCTTAGGGTTTCAGGGTTGAGGATTTAGGTTCTTGGATTGAAGGTTCAGGGTGTTTTTTTGCACAATCCTATCAATCAAGGACCACTAAGGGCTGCCTTGAAGGAATAAGTTGGCTGGTCTGGGGCGGACTTCAGTGAACGTATTCCCGAGGCAACTACGCAGGGCAGCTGCGTTAGAACAATCTTCCCATGCCACAGGTGGGAAGGCGCCTTGCATCTGCCACTGCAATAAGGATTCAGGCGGTTTGGGTGTGTGGACTTTGGGCTGAAGGGGTTTTAGGACGTTATAGGCAAGTTATTGGGGCCTTTCTGATTTCAATAGAGTTTTGGGTGATATTCTACTATAGTTATATTCAGGAACCACCAAAAATAGTACAGGTAATTATTAAAGGCCCCAAAAGAAAGGTGTTTTAGGGTGTAGGGTGTGGAGCTGGAAGCTTCCTGAGCCTGGTAGCGGGTGGTTGACCGCAGCCCCAAATCCTAGGCCTTACTCCCTCAGTCGCAACTCCGGGTTTAGGCAGTTTAGAGTTGAGGGTTTAGGTTTAGGGGCATCCCAAACCTCACCCCAAAGCAAAAAAAAAGTGCAACTCCCCGAAATCCAAGTGCCGAAATCACTCCCACCCCAACTCTCAGCCCCCCTGAATATAGGAACCTGAAACCGTGGGTCTTTATCAGGGTTCCTCGTATGAACCCTAACTAGGATACCCAGTAACCTAAGAATAAAAAGGCTTCTCTTTTTGGTATTGGGTAACTTTATAAGGAACCTAGGACTACAAAAAGGGAATAAGGGTACTACTGGGCATCCTAGCTAATATACTGGGGTTATAGGGCCAGGGTTTCTTCATCAGGTTCCTACATCAGCGCCAAGGCCTTCGAGAGTGCAGCCAGGCCGTTGGGGACGTCCGCGAATTTCAAGTCCCTTGCTGGCCTGGGCAGATTAAGGGCTCAATCTTCAAGGGCGGCTGTTTAGGGTTTAGAGTTTAGGGTTTAGGGTTTAGGGTAAGGGTTACACCTAAGGGGATATTATGAGTTTTGGGGCTTTAGTGTTCAGGGCTTAGGGGTTGAAGGTTCTCGTGGTGCACAGTTCCGACAGGGACCTGCATTTGGCTTGCTGTACTATAAATGGGGAGTTTCAGAAAAGTGCGGGTACCTTATTTTGGGGTCCTTTATAATGAGGATCCTACTATTTAGGGTTAGGGTACCATATTAGGCTCCCCTATTTTCGGAAACTCCCACATGAGGATAGATAAACACTACTGATACTGCTTCTTGAAGCTCCTGTAGTAATACATGTTCAGGGCCTACGAAAGTGGCAACATGGCTAGGTCAGAAAGGTGAAGAACCTCAACCCCTAAACCAAAAACCCCTAAGCCCCCTGAACCCTAAACTCCGAACCCTCATCCCCCTGGAAAAAGAATCTGGCAACAGCAAGGAAGGGCAAGGGGCTAAACCGTAAACCCTAAACCTTAGACCCTAAACCCTAAACCCTAATAAAGCGTCCCCCCGGCCCCCCGCCCTAAACCCTAAACCCGAAACCCTAAACCCTAAACCCGAAGCTCTAAACTTCGACTTGAGCTGCCTTGCAGCCGAGCCATGGTCAGAAGTCCTCATGGCCTTCAAGTAAACTTGTTAGGGTTTACTTAAAGGATCATGGGACTTAGTAACTAGGGTTATAATTAGGGTAACTATACTTATAACTACTTATAACCCCTATTAAGGTACTTATAACCTTACTTACTAAGTCCCCTGCTCCTCCAAGTAGGGTTTATGGATTAGGGCTTAGGGATTAGGGTTTAGGGATTAGGGTTTAGGGACTCAGATTTAAAAAAAAATAAATCCGCAAGCACTAGACTCACTAGACAATGAACCGCTGAGCACTGAAGCCATCAACACAAAGCCCGAAAACGGTTTCAGGTGTTCCTTGAGTTTCCTGGTTTACTGAAGCTTGAACTCCCTATTCCCTACTCCTACGCCTACCGCTACTCCTACTCCTACTCCTACTCTCCTACTACTACTACTACTACTACTACTACTACTACTACTACTACTACTACTACTGCTGCTGCTGCTGCTGCTGCTGCGGCTGCTGCTGCTGCTGCTGCTGCTACTGCTGCTACGACCACCACAACGACCACGACCAGGACCACGACATACCACGACCACGACAACCACCACTACGACTACAACCACGACTATGACTACGACTGCGACTGCGACTACCACTACTGCGACGACGACTACGACTACATACAAACACTACATCCCACCCCCTGTATCCCTTCCTGGGGCAGCCGCGACAGGTATCCAGGGAAGCGGAAGTACTCCGGTGCGATAACTCGGCAACACTAGAATTGATGCTGGAGCTAAGGGATTCGGCACAGGATGCACGGTAACACACCCGGCCTGCGACTTGCATGCTCAACCCGAAGCATGTGCAGCAAAAACATCCAATTGCTGTAAGCTTCATCACAAGGTCCCAAAAACCTGAAACCCAGGATGCCCCCGACTGTCACATGGGGGGGAAGTTGTGGAACCATGGTTTACAAGGGTTTTGGGGCTGTGGGTAGATTTTACGGCTACTGGGGAATGGTCTTCCGGACTGCAGGGAAGTAGAAGACAGGCAATAGGCCAAATCTTCCGCCACCGCAAGTATATAGGAGTTTCCGATCATTTGGGGTACCGTACTATGTTGGGGTCTCCCATCTTCGGAAACCCCATTTGGGGCGTGTAGGGACTACAGGCTTATTGCGGAGGGCCAGGGACCTAGGACAGACTCGATATTCCTAACTCAGACCTGCTTAATACATGGGCTTCAATAACAACTAGAACAAGGTTTTGGGCCATATGCACTATACTCATAACAGGAACCCTAAGAAATCTATTGGTACATGCCTCAACATGAACAAAACTTGCCGTTCACCACGACCCTAAGCCCCCGCACCGTGGAAACCGACGCAAACCATGTCGCTTTGCTTAAAGGATCATGGGACTTAGTAGCTAGGGTTATAATTAGGGTAACTATACTTATAACTACTTATAACCCCTATTAAGGTACTTATAACCTTACTTACTATAATCCTCCAAGTGGTCTGACGTGGGAGCTGAGGTCTGAAAAGAGTTTCCCTCGTCGTGCCCTTTTCTCGCAGGAACCCTAAACCCTAAACCCTGAACCCCGAACCCTGAACCCTAAACCCTAAACCCTAAACCCTGAACCCTAAACCCTAAACCGACAGATTCTTCTGACCACTGCCTTAAGCATAATTCACTCGAAGACTGAGATTCAGGATTCACCTAATCCTAAGGCCAAGAGCCCTAAAAGCCCAAACCCCAATCCCAAGCAATGAACCCCCAAGCATAGAAACCCCTTATATAAACCTACAGTAGAAGCCAGAAACTTGGAATATGATTCTCCCAACCCCTTTATGGTAAATTATAGGGGATCCTACCATAAATCCATATTCCAACTTTCTGGAGTTCCCTTTAAACCTAAACCCTAAACCTGAAACCCTGAAGCCGCACCCTGAACCAAAAAGCTTCGGTCGCGGGGCATCCCATCGTAGCGAACATGGCAACGCGCCCGTTCCTGGGCACTCGGATCTCACCCAGAGATCGCAAGACCCCTTAAGTAAGGCATGCTCCATAGATCACAACACCAAGCCCTCCATAACTGAAGGCATCTTCCTGGGATCATAATACTATGCCGGCTAGGACTATCAATGACTATCAGCTTGAGGACTACTCCTTAACTCACAACATTTGGACTGGCGTTTTAATCGAGGGAGTGGTAGTGGCAGTCGCAAGGGCAGTGGTAGTGGTTGTACTGGTAGGGGTGGGGGTAGTAGTGGTATGGGTATTGTCTGTAGGAATGGTGGCAGTGGCGATAGGAGCGGTACTGGTAGTGGTACTTGTTGACAAAAAACAATAACACTACTGCTACTACTACTCTTACTACTGCTACGACTACTACTACTACTACTACTACTACTACTACTACTACTACTACATCAACTACTACTACATCAACTACTACTACGACTACCACCACTACGACCACCACCACCGCCACCATTACGCAAGTAAGGGTATGTAGAGGGTTTGGGTGTGCTACCAAACAATCATTACTCAAACAGGCGAAACTTGAAACGTGGGCAAGTGCGTCAAAGAACAAAAGCCGGCAGATGCAGAGAGCGGGCGCCGCGATTTTGTACCGGAGCGTTGCGGGGTTGGCTCGTCGCCTCAACCCCGTCCCAGCCACAGACTGCGGGTCAGCTCTGTAGGCTTTGCGCACTCAAACCATTCACACCGGCAGCAGGAGCACAGCTTCGGCATGATCTTTCCCAAATGCATTGTCAAAGCTGTGAAGTCCCTCTTGCAGGCCAAGTTGAAGTCGGCGCCAGCCGCTAGCAGCACACGCACGACTCCGATTTGACAATTTGCAGATGCTATTGTCAAAGCTGTCCAGCCTCTTCTGCCAGCCAAGTTCTTGTCGGCACCGGCCTCCAACAGCAAGCGCACGACTTCGACATGACCAAACCGAGATGCTATCGTCAAAGCTGTCCAGCCGTGGTTGTCCGCAAAGTTCTTGTCGGCACCGGCCTCCAACAGCAAGCACGCGACTTCCACATGACCAAGCCGAGATGCAACTGTCAAAGCTGTCCAGCCATCGTTGTCGGCCAAGTTCTTGTCGGCACCGGCCTCCAACAGCAAGCGCACGACTTCGACATGACCAAACTGAGATGCAATCGTCAAAGCTGTCCAGCCGTGGTTGTCGGCCAAGTTCATGTCGGCACCGGCCTCCAACAGCAAGCGCACGACTTCGACATGACCAAACTGAGATGCAATCGTCAAAGCTGTCCAGCCGTGGCTGTTGGCCAAGTTCATGTCGGCACCGGCCTCCAACAGCAAGCACGCGACTTCGATATGGCCAAACCGAGATGCAATCGTCAAAGCTATCCAGCCGTGATTGTCGGCCAAGTTCTTGTCGGCACCGGCCGCCAATAGCAAGCGCACGACTTCGACATGACCTCGCGCGGATGTGAGCGTCAAAGCTGTCCAGCCGTGGTTGTCGGCCAAGTTCTTGTCGGCACCGGCCTCCAACAGCAAGCGCACGACTTCGACATGACCACACTGAGATGCCATCGTCAGAGCTGTCCAGCCGTGGTTGTCGGCCAAGTTCATGTCGGCACCGGCCTCCAACAGCAAGCGTGCGACGTCGACATGACCCTGCAGGGACGCGATGGTCAATGCTAGAAGTTGTTGGGCGCCTGTCAGATCCGGATCTTGGGGTAGCTGCATCATGGACTCAACCTGCAGGGTTTCGAAATTTCACACTTACGATTGAAGCCACAAATCTGCCTGCACGGCTTGGCTGGAAAACTTGAGTCGATGTTTCAAGGGTGTAGGGGATCAGGTGTAGGGCTGCGATTAAATTCCAATATCGAAGGGGACAGGGAGAAGGCCTAAACCCTAGACCTTAGAAGCTGCCCCCACCCTGTAATAGTGAGTATAAGGATTGTATTAGGGCCCTGTTATATTCCTATTATACCACTATTACAGGGTTTGGGCCCCTTCTAACCTAGACCCCAAACCCTGAACCGCTTGCATCCTTGGGACCAGTCGGTGCAAAGCCGAAGCAGCCGAGTCAGCAGAATACTAAGTCAAGGGCAACTTGGGTTTAGAATTTCCAGGTTTAGAGCTTACAAGGTTCGCGGTTTGGGGCCTAAGGGGCTTTAGTGTCTATGGAGATACTTCGAAACTTGCAGGAAGTCGATTGAGAGTTTCGAGGGAGCTAGACTTACCTTGGGTTAGTAGGGAATGGAGGAATGGGGAACAACTATTAATTACTATTACCACCATATTACGACCATATTACTATCATACTACTACCATAAAACTACTATTACTAGCATTCTTCCATTCCCTACTAACCAAAGGTAAGTAGATCCAGCAGTTCAAAAAGTGAAGTAGCTATCGTGTAGACTCGCACAGCCCTGAACGTCTCACATGACGTAGGCAGAACCAGTATCTTTTCCCCCGGGCGTCTATGATCGTCTTTGCTGGGAGCCCCGAAACTTCAGTGTACAGGCACTGCCGGCTCCAGGTACCAGAAAGGGGGTATACAAAAGGTAAGTGCTCAGGCTTTGCTGGCTGCCGAGGATTCTCACAGCATAAATCATGCAGAAGACATGCTTGTTGTACGGGTATGCCCATGTACATGTACTGATTCAAATCCGCCCACCTTGTCAACGGAGCCCAGCGTCGCAGCGGCTGCAAGGTCGTCTGCTTGACTCTGAGAAACGTCAGCGAAGGTCAATAGAACCAGTTCCAAGTTCATGGGGGAGTGCAGCGTCACATCATCCTTCAAATTCTCGCCGCGGAAGAGAACTCTTTGCCTAAATCGTGGTGGCAAGCCAGGCAGCTGAGACAGCCGCTGCTTCAAACCCTTCACATCATGTATCTCCTCCACACATATGTTCGTCAACGCTTCCCCGGAGAGCATTCTGAGTCGCAGCATCTTCGCGAAATGATGACTCCAGCAAGTAAGAGCAATGAGACCTAGGGCATGCCAACAGCAGCAGGACCTAGTAAGCCGAATGTCCTGCAGCGAGGCACGCTAACCTGCCAAAAAAACTGCCTTCTTCCCTGAATTGCTGACGGATACCTACTACACAGGAGTCTAAACAGGTCTGAATGACAAGTGATATCTTGCCCGTGTATAACCGCACCATAGCATTACCAAAAACCTTATTCTCATTGCTAAGGGTTCGTATATAGCAGCCTGTACCCAACCTTCAACCATGAACCTTTGGCTTGAGGGTTGTGCGAACCGGCTGATTTGAGGAGAACAGTTCCTCGATCGTTGAAGGACAATCCCAGCGCATTTTCTGGCAAAAGGCCCAAGAACCCACACTATATGCTTGCGAAAACCATATTACAGTATAGCTAGATATGGACTCCCAAGAAAATCATTTCGACCCAGCAGCCCATGCTGCCACAGCGGCCTTGGGGGTTCAGGGATTTAGGGTTTCCAAGCTCCCCGCTTCAGTTCGCTCTCCCGCCGGCGACGGAACCTTGGCAGTGGAAGGATTTGGAGTTCCGGGCTTCGGGCGTTGATGCAACGTTTTTCAACTAATATCAAAACTTTATTCACTTCTTGTTTAACAGGATCAATACTACATTAAGCGCTTTGTCATAACGACAACCAGTGGATTAGCAATGACAACTCAAGCTACAAGAAAGCAGTCAGACTTGTCTGGGTATTGGACTTAGTTTTGTTGATACTGAGGTTGTGGGCATCAACACTTACGATTGTCAATCTCTGCTTTGAGGAGGCTTCTGCAATATCTCAGTACATGAGAGGTGCATATATATATATATATATATATATAGATAGCAGGGAAAACGACCATGAATTCCAGAAACCGCAACACGGAAAAAAGTGAATAAAGACGTCCGCGTCGCGAGGCTCATGTAGCATCATGGGACCCTGAACCCAAACTCGCCGAAGCAGACTGAAAACCCCAAAATCCGAAACCAACATTCGAAACCGTACGCCCACACCCAACAACAAAAAGGAAAAAGACCCAAAGCCCTTCACCAAAACCTCAAACCCCAATACCAACCCAAGGTATATGCATGCAAAGACTGGGTATGTACACATGTGTAGATTTCGTACAAAAGAAGCATCTACTCTCCTCTATAGACGCATATCCCCTGCATGTGCCTGTATGTGATAATGACATACATAAATATATATATATATATGCATACATAAACATACATACATACATACATACGTATACACAGACATGTATATACGTATATGGGTGTATGTTTAATTATCAACTTTTTTATCTATATGCATATGTATATGTATATGTGTATGTATATGTAACATGCATATATAAATATATACACATATATCTAAACAGATACACAGGGTATGCACATGCATATGGGCATGTATGTGTATGTGTATATAAATACAGATGCACATGTAGGTGTCTATGTATATGCATATGTACTGTAGATGTATATGTCTAAGTATGTGTATGTGTACATGTTTCACAGCATGTATCTGTATACGTATGTGCACATGCATGTGCCTATGTATGTGTGTAAGTTTATGTACATGTACGCATGTACTATGTATATGTACACATATATGTATGTCAATATGTGTACACATACATACATACATGCATGCATACATACATAAAGATAGCATACATATACATATATATATACATGCGCACATACATACATACATACATAAATACATACATACATACATGTATGTATGTATGTATGTACGTAGGTATGTAGGTATGTAGGTATGTAGGTATATATGTATGTATGTATGTATGTATGTATGTATGTATGTAAGCATCTCGGCTCCATGGCTGGGTGTCTAGTGGACGTAGGAACATGGAACTGGTTGCGCCACACGGGTCCAACAAGATACCCAAACTCCTGGCGATCAGCCTGTTTTGTGATCCTGTGGGATATTTTGTGGAGGAATATGCCCTGGGCCTACTTACGAGGTTTTGGGGCGCAATTCGACGACCAGAGGTCTGCAGGCGACAGGGGCTTCTCCGTTCGCGGTGGCACCTCGCAGGGGCCTTTAGCATCTGGTTTGATGGCTGGGTGCTGCTGGATGATCCGGGCCGCCTGGCTCTGCTCGGTAAGACCATGGAACATTACCAGGACTTCGGTTGCTGCATGCTCAAGGCACTTTGTGCGTTTATGGCACCGTGGCTGGAATTCATGGACTAAGCTGTGCAGAGGGGGACCCATCCGACGGGCCCTCAGGGGCGCGGCTCGCCTACATATGGCGACAGGACCCAGGACCAGACGGACCGAGACCCAGCAGGTGCTCCTTGTGTTCTTTCTTCCTGTGTGTGTCTGTCTCCTGGGCTGCAGCGGCTTAGTGTACATCGTTGGCCTCACTGCTGCTCTACTCTGGCAGGTGCAGGGCCCCCGCAAGGTCTGTGCATGTACGGCCTCCACGTGCCCCATGCCTGTTCCCACTGTGGCTGTCACGACAAGGGGTGGAGGTAGCAGAGAAAGCGCAAGCATGTGTGCACTGTCGTTTGTGAGGGCTCAACAGCAGAGCAGGACGACTCCCTGCCCGAAATTGCAGGAGCAGGCGGAATGGACGCCATGGATGCCGCCGATGAGCCGGCCGCAGCTACTATGTTGGCGGCAGTGGCGCCCACTACACCGGGCGGAACGCCGCTCCCGGCGGTCCCTCCGCCACCACAGCCGGTCCAGATGCGGAAGCACCTGGTTCTCCGCCTCCCGCTGGCTCATGTAGTCCATATCCACGCGCCAGCTCGTTATATCCTTGAAGTTCGGCGGGAGGTACACCAGCACGCGGCCCACATATACGCCTTCATGAAGTAGGAAGTCGGCTATGGTCGACGCCAGTCTTTGACTCACCCAAACACGTTATCCATCGGGGACTCTGAGGGCGACAGCGAGGAGGGCTTCGAAGGGCACTCGGAATCCGATAAGGACGTGCAGGAGGAGCACCCGGTGGTCACGGACATCCGCCGCAACATGGAAGAGGACAGTCGTGTCAGGATGACTCCGGGAGAAGAGGCCATTGCTGACTTGTTTGCGGATGATGTAGCCCAGGCGGCGACGCTGGAGACGGGGACGGAGACGGTTCGATCTACTGCGACTCCTACGACGACCCCCTCTGCGTCCTCTATGGCTTCCGACTCTAGGCCCGCTTCGGCTGCGGTGGACCAGGCCATCAGCACGGCCCCGTGGCACGGGGGCAGCGGAACGGCCACACCCAAGCCCAAGGCGAACAATAAGCCAGAGCCTCATTTGCCGCAGTGCCTGCGTGGAGCTGCATCCGTGCCGGGATACGTCCCCCAGTCCTTGCAGTCCTTGCACTGCTTAGGCGACGAAGACAGGGCTGAAGGGACTGAGGGCTGTGGTGGCAGTAGCACGGTTCGGTCTTGTCATGCAAGGGCAGGCAGAGCAAAAGAATGGGTCTTCGTGTCCGGGCCGGGCATACTGCCTGGCCTGAGGAGTCTCCTGGTAGCCTTTTCGGTGGTGATCGGTGTGAGCGCTCTGCTGTGGCATCGAAAAGAACCAGTGGGCGATGCACACTTTATTGCAACCTTGTGCTCTTTGCGCCCTCTGCATTTCTCGACACACTCCTGTTTTTCTACGGGCACATTGCTGTCTATCTCGCGGCTGGCCAGGTACGGAATATGCTGGTGCCTGACTTCGTGGCGGGCGGCCTCAGTGCTTAGAGCTGGCTCACGTCTTCGAGAGTACGGTTGCATCCCGACACACAGGTGGATACAGGCGGCTGGATACCGCAGCACCCTCGACATGGTTGGTCGGGGCCTTGCGATCTCCTCACGGCTGTGCTGCCTGAGCCGGACACTCCACCATGTATACCACATGTTTCAGAAGATGCCACCACTACGTCCACACAGGCTCCCTCAACCACGACCTCTTCCTACTCGACGCAGATGGAGGAGCCGCCTGGGTCCCAAGCCCCGGGGTTGCAGTCGCACAATCAGTGGTATGGGCAAGTGGCTTTTCATGCTCTATGTTTTCCATTCTCGACTTACCATTGCCACTGCAACAGATGCGAGGGTTGAACCCGCTGAGCACCACAGGGGTTCTGGAGCCTCACAACAGGTTCATCTTGAACATAGCAGGGCGAAGCAAATGAGTGCATCTCGCTACCTGCCCGGGTCACATTTTGTCGACGCCCCGAACATCAGAAAACGGGCTTTGCTGAGAGCTATCCACAGAGCAGAGTCCAATCCCTCCCAAACGACGTGGTACAAAGGCCGGACTTTCCATGTTGACCAGCTACGAGGGGGATGGCAAGGCAAACCCTGCCCGCGAGGACAAGTGCGGCACTCACGGGTTTCCTTTCCTCCCACTCAGGATCGCCTTCGGGTAGTCAGTTGGAACAGTGGAGGCCTCAACTCCGTCCGACACAAAGAGCTCTTGACCTGGTTGCAGCTATCACACGAGGAAGGCTGCACCTACGACGTCTGCATCATACAGGAGACGATGTGGCCCCAGGACGCAGAATTTACTGCCAAGTTAGATGGGGAGGGCACCCTCCAATGGCATGCCATACACAGCGCGGGCAAAGGCCACGATGGTGTGCTATGCCTGGTACGATCAGGACTTTTGCCGGCGGAGAACCTGCGCTACCACATCATCGAAGCAGGCCGGCTTGTTCACCTCCGACTGCTCTTCAGTGTGCCGTGCGATGTTCTGTGCACATATCAGTGGGCATGGAACCCAAGGCAGGTGGAGCTCAAGGGCACGAACCGCATTGAGGAGATGCTGCGTCAGCGCAGGCGGATCTGGCAAGCCATAGACAAATGGCTTAGTTCCATCCCGGCACGCAGCACCTGTTTAGTGGTCGGGGACTTCAATTGTTCATTGCTGCCAGAACGGCCCTTGTGCGGAGAGGGCACCTCCACGGCGAGTGGTGCGCACCCAGATCAAGAGTCCTTTCAAGAGCTCGTGCGGACTCATGGCTGCTGTGCCCTCAACACCTGGGGTGCTAAAGGTGTCCGGGCACGGACCTACATCCCGCCGAATGCCTCCCCACAGCATGGATCTCAGATTGACTTCATCTTGTACCGAGCCCAAGGCATAGATCAAGATGCGAGGGCACATTGCGCCCGGACTTCCCCAGCAGACCTTACGCCAGGTGGAGTTCTGGAGACGGTCCTGCACTCGTCTACCCCAGAACAGCTGGAAGATGGAGATGTTGACCAGTGGCTTCTGGCAGGCTGGAGATCCGCCACCGCGGCCATGGGACCTGCAGGCCAGTCGGGTCGGGACCCCAACGGCGTGCAGAACCACCGGGGAGCTCTCACTGGACAGGCGAAGCACTTATGGCACCTTCGGGCCGAAACCTTCGAGGCGGGACACCAACTAGGACATTGGCGGCGAGCTGGACCCTCCCCTGGCCAGGTCCTCCGAGCATGGCTCACGACGGCCAAACTTCAGGCACATACCCGGCATTTGCGCAAGGAGTGCCGGAGACGAAAGTTTGAGAAGGTGGTGGAGG